TATCTGCTGCCACTGTATTATGTTCACCCTACTGGACAAAGATCAAATTATATGTGTTGCCCCTTCCACTTCTGCCTCTGGCCTCACTCACCATTTGCATGTGGCCCCTGAAAGGTTAGAGTGCAACCCTCTGTCCCCTATCCCTGCTGTATAAGCACATGATGCTCAAACCACGTTGTGTAGATAGGTCTGAACACGTCTGTCATAATGTGGGCATTGTGTCCCAACAGGAGCATGGTGAAGCTAGCAGCAGCCAAGCCACCTCTTGAAACAACAGCAGAGTTTGTTGCTGTTAAAAGAAAGAAGCAGGAAAGGGGGGGGAAACCCTCAGCCACCTCATATTTGAAGGTAATACCAAAAATTTAAAAAAGAAATCAGCTAAACCCTGGAAATCATTGAAAACCCTCCTCTTTGAAATACCCTCCCCTGTGAAAGGGGACAGAATCTCTGGCACAGCTTGAGTACTGACAAGTCTAAAAACCTAATGGAAAGTGAAATCAATAGAAGGTGAAGCAAAACCCCGGTGCAGAGAACTATTGAGGCACATTGGAAAATTTGCATCTCTGTAGGGAGCTGGTATCCCTTGCCATCTCGAACCCGTTAATCCTAGTAAAGAGATTCTGGAGACAGGCAGTTGGGTGATGACTCTTGTCCAAGCAGAATGTGCTGCCTCTTTGAATAGGCACTGAGTACAAAGGGCTAGACCAAGGACCACTGTAAGCTTTGACAAGATCCTACATGAGCCACATTTTCCATGTCCCTAATGCAACAAATGAAGTAGTGAACATGTTTGATGTGGCAGAAATCCAGAGGAGCAAGCCTGCCAAAACAAACCCAGGCAGCCCTCCAGCAGAATGGTTTGGAGTCAAATGTTAACGTGCACGAAAACTTTAAGGGGGAATTAAAGAAAGAGAAAGAGAGACTCTTTTACCAAAGAATCACTATGGTCTAGTTATCGCAAACTGCCGATAAAGTGGTAAACTTGTGTCTGGATTGAACTACTTCTGATTACGGTAGAGGTCTGACATAATGGAATGCTCACTTATGGGGGAAATATCCTGTATGTCAAAAATGGGAATTCTAGGCTAGCATCCTTCACTCTGCTCTATAGTTTCCTAGGCACAGGGTAGTTTTTTGTATGTAAGAGCATTCCATCATCTGAGTCCAAGTAGCACACTCCAGAGACAGCCTTGACCTATGGCAGCAAGTTAGCAAGACAGAATCTGTAGCAGTGTGTGTTAATGATTTTTTAAAAGTTAGAAGCAGACGTCCTACACTTCCACAGATATTCATAAATCAATTTAAAAGGCAGCTTCAAATGAAAAGGGGTAAGTGTAGAAATTAGCTACAGTACTTTACCCACGTTTGCCTTTAGTGCAGCCCACCTTGGGCATGTCATTGCCCCCTCCCGAAGCTTGCCCAAAAGGGAATATGGCCCTCAGGTTAAAAATAAATAAATCTCCACTCCGCTTTGGAAGAAGGGGCGGGATAGAAATGTGACAAATATTCCAACAAAGCAGAACTCAGACTACACCCAAATATATAATAACATGCCCCAGAAGAATAATGCCTGAATCGGTTCTGTTTTATTTTAAAAAGAAATGGAATCTCATGCACTTGCACAAAAGGCAGCACGTAGATGGGACAAGCAGATGACAGGAGCTCAAGGAAGCAGTGAAGTGAAATGATTGGTAGTTGAGTTTTCTCTTGTAAAAGATAAACTTCTGGCACATTTACAAGGAAGCCGTATCCATGCATCACCTCCCGTGTGGCAGCCACATCAGACGCGAGCCACGGAAGACAGAGGAGAGACCTGAGAATTCAAGGAAGATCAATTTCGCTATGCAAATTTCCTTTGTTGTCATGAATACAGAAATGCACAGAACCTTCTCACTCAGTTTGTCTAAACTACCCGTTTAGACTATAAATGCATATGACCAAACCAAGGGTCCCTCTTTATTTTTCTTGAGACAATGGTTTTCAGTGGAGGAACAGTGGGGGGCGGGGTGTGATAAAACTTTTCTTTGCACACCATCTCACCATGTTTGATCAGGTCAACACACCTTGTAGAGCAGGAGAAGGTAAACCAAAATGATTGATGGACTGGAGCTCCTCCCCTCTGAGGGAAGGTTATTTAAGCTTAGACAAATGGTCAGAGGGGACCCAATGGAGGCATTTACAATGATTCATTGTGTGGCAGAAATAGTTAGGAATATGTTTTGCTCTGTCTTTCGTACTACTAGGAGATGAGGTCATGCAGTAAAGCTGAATGGTGGGAGGTTCAGGACAGAGAAAAGGAAGTCCTTCTTTACACTGTGCATGGAATTTCCTGACAGCTTGTATGACTTTAAAGGGGGATTAGACAAATTGAGAACACAGCCTGTTGGATCCTATCTAGTCCAGCATCCCATTTTCACAGCCTATGGGAAGCCAGCAAGCAGGCCCTGAACACAACCGCACTCTTGTAAGAACCACTATTAAGAAGCTTACTGGCTCCCATGGTGAAGGTAGGGCTATCAGTGGCAAATGGTCATGATGGCTATATATTACCCCCAGTATCAGAGACAGTACAGTGGTACCTTGGTTCTCGAACTTAATCCGTTCCGGGAGTCCGTTCGACTCCCAAAACCATTCTAAAACCAAGGCACAGTTTCTGATTGGCTGCAGGAGCTTCCTGCACTCAAGCAGAAGCCGCAGAAGCCACGTCAGACGTTCAGCTTCCAAAAAACATTCACAAACCGGAACACTTACTTTGGGGTGTTCTGGAGCTGATTTGTTCAACAACTAAGCTGTTTGGGAACCAAGGTACCACTGTATGTATCAGAATACCAGTTGTTTAGGATCATTAGTGGGACAGTACTATTGCACTCATGTCCTGCTTGTGGGCATAGCTGTCAACGTTTCCCTTTTTAAAAGGGAAATTCCCTTATTCCGAATAGGATTCCTTGCAAGAAACGGGAAAAGTTGACAGCTATGCTTGTGGGCTTCTCATAAGCATCTAGGTGGCTGCCATAAGAACAGAATGCTAGAATTGGCGAGTCTTTGGTGTGATCCATCATGTGGGGGAGATGAGGGCGCTGATTTGGAGCGCAGACCCAACACAAGACGGAGGGCTTTTCTGCACTAATGGCAATCCAGGTTTTCTGCAGATTGCAGTTTGCTCTGATTCAGCAGTAGAGATGGGGTTTTCCCAGTGGGGCAAAAATGAAACAAACGCTCAGCCACAAACCTGGAAAGCCTAGGTATTTGCCTAGAACTGTGGAGCAAATGCGGAGATGAGCCCATACATGCTTTGCACCTCCAGCTCGTACATTACCAGTCCTTTATGTCTTTGTTCGTTGCTCTCACACAACCTGCTAAGGTGGGGTCTGGCTCCTGAGATGGTACAGAGCAGATTGGCCCAATCAGGGGGCCACAGATCAGGGCCGCAAAGTGAATCGGGTGGGGGGGGTATATGCGTTGTTCGACTTCTCAATTTGTTCTGCTACTGAAATGCTGTTCGGAATACTTTACTAATGTTTCAGCTGTATCTACGATCTTGTTACTGAACCCACACCTCCATAAATACAGCAAACATCTTCCTTTGGGATGTCAACGTTAAGGTAATTGTTTATCTTCCCCCTGGATGTTCTGTTCATGAGAATAAGACTATTGCAGCATGATAATTGTTTAATTGTACCATGAAGAGTTGAAGCGCTGATGTTCAGCGTGGCATTCCTGCAAACGTTTATATGGTTCAAAGTTCAATGTAAAGCCTTGCAGTTTCCTGGAACTTGGATCCTGTTGTTAATTTTTGAACTACGTGCGGCTTACTCAAGAAACTCTGCCAGTATTAATAGCTCATTTTAGTATAATGCTGTGGGCACACTGAGTTCAAGAAGTGCTTCAGTGAGCAATTCTCTTCTTAACGGTAGATCAGAATGGGTTACCCACATAAACCTTTTGGGAGCAAGCCTTGAGCATCAAGGAATGCTACAGAGATTTCTTTTGCAAGCAAAGGTTTGAGTGTCAATGAGCTTGCTCTGTTCTGTATTATTTTTTAATTTGGTTGTCTTCATTACTGCAAATAGGCTTGTGGTTTTGCCTGAGTAATCTGGTGGATAATTAGGGAATTAACCAAAGGAGGTGGATGGTTCTTAATGTTCTGGAATCTCTATTCAGCCTTTGGAATATTATACCCATCACAGATTGTTAGAGAGATGGAAAGAGAGTTGGGAGGAGTATGAATTTCAGTGAGTAGGGGAGAGCTATGATATGCCAGAATATGAAGATCCTTAGGGTACCTCTGCCTCCTTAAGAGCCTGATGCAGGATTAGCACCTCTGCCTGTTTTTAGAAGTCTGTCTACTACCAATAGGCTCTGCTTATATACTTGTGAGTCAATAGATATAGCAAATACATCACAAGTCTCCAGCACTTTTTCATCCATGTTAAATCCAGTAGAACTGAATACTTTCACTTTCGGATGTAATCGGTTGATTACAAAAAAAATATTATATTGCTAATACAAATGAAACTTATTACTTCATGTACATACATACTGATAAGTACTTTTCCACACCATGAAACTGGCCTTGGATATGGCAGGATTCCTGAAGGTGATTTTGTGCTATACAGGGATGATGTGAAGCAGTCATAAAATTGATTGAGAGTCAGTGGTTGCCTGTGTTTCGGAGCTTGCCAAGATGATTTATCTCCCTGCTGTGTTTATGAGTTCAAAATCAAATGCCCTGTATTTACTGATTTGCCTCTGATGCATCTAGGTTGACGTCATGGCTCCTAGATGTATCTTTACAAAGGGGGCGGCAAGTCAAGGAGGTACTGGGTGGTAGGGAATAGAGAAAAAGGGCTCATGAAGAACGAGTGAACCATAGGAACTAGCCCCACTTTTGGCAGATGGATCTAATTTGGAGGGCTTTTATAGAGCCACGTTTACTATCTGCCTGCACAAACAAAAGGAATGTATTACACTCATAAATCTTTTTCCCCTCCTTCCCACAAAAGCCAAACAGAAGGCTGGGAGATGTGCACAAGGAGCAGAAGTGGTTTCCAAGAAGATTCAGGGAAAACAAAGCAGGAAAGAATATGATGCAGTGCCAGAATATAAGTATCTCATGCCAGGGTGAGTGTGAAAGGCTTGATGACAGCAGCCATGGCCACAATGGTTTGTCATTTTTTGCACGAGTCTTCAGTTCATGCTCTTCACACTTTACTCTTGTCCTCAGCCATGGCATAGGGATGGGGAAGAAATTGAATTTGGATTCCATTTTTACAGGAATGTACTTAACTCACACTTCCTGAAAAATACAGACAACACAGCCATTCTTCAAAATTCTTAGTTTTCTGAATTTTGCATTTATTAGGGGGTAGTGTGCAGGAAAAATGCATATGTTGATGCTGGGGGAAATTGCTTGCAAATATGTCTATATTGGGCAAACTTGCAGGAAAAGTTGTAATTGGCTGATTGGTCTGTCCCTAGAATGTCCATAAGGAGATCTTGTTTCTTATTTTGATAAACTACAGTTTAGTGCTATGTCTGAAACCTAAATAGTTGTTGCTTAACTGGCTTGGTTACTTGAAGGAAACCAGATTTATAACCAGTGATTTGAAGTTTGCTCATTCAACTATCTTCAGTTAAGACTAAATAAAGTTTTTTTCAGAGTTTTGGTATAAAAGTAAGCTGTGGTTAATCTAAAGGAAAAATTTCCAGTCTCCTTCTTCTGGTTGCACAGGGGAAGGGCACAAACCTAAGGTTTGCCTGTGATTGTTCCTCTAACCACTGTTTATAATTTCAGCCCAATCCAGCCATGGATTGCACAGGGAGAAATCTAGGCCCATTCTAAATTTTCCATGGAGATTGATGAATTGATGGGACTTTTAAAAAAATTACTAAGTATGGGTATACTCTGGTAGCCCACAGGTTTAATTAAGCCCACTGGGCATCCTAATTTGACCCACGGGCCTTTTTACCACAGTCACACCCAGCTGTTTTGCACCTGACATCAGGTGTGGGTCAGGTAAAGCTAATAATCACAATATACCCCAGATTGTTTTACTGAAAGCTAGGCTTGCCTTTGTTGTTGCTTTACTCTCAACAAAAAGGAGCCTAGAATAGCAGGTATAGAGTACTGGATACAAGGGTGAGCTGGGAAATCTTTTTTTATAGATATATAATAATTTTGATTAAATTTTCCATTATACAAATTCACCATATCAATTTTTTTTCACAAATTTCAACTTTTTAGACTTCCATCAGCTTCTCTGCAAATCATCCATATTTTTTTTACATACTTTACGCATTCTCTAAATATAATATTGCCTTTTAGCATACCCTTACTATCCTGTTTCTTTTTAACAATATTCCTCTAGCTTTCACAAAACTTCTTTAAATCCCACTAGCGTTGTTTGTTCATCACATATACTTTTCAGATATTCTGTGAATTTTGCCCAGTCCTCAATGAACTTGTGATCCCGTTGGTATCTAATCTTCCCAGTTAGTTTGTCCAACTCTGCATAGTCCATAAGTTTCATTCTCCACTCTTCAAGGGTCGGTAGTTCCTCCTGTTTCCATTTCTGGGCCATTAATATTCTCGCTGCCGTTACTGCGTATTGAAAGAGTTTATAGTCCCTTCTATTTATCTCACTTCCTGTTATTCCTAACAGAAAGGCTTCTGGTTTCTTTACAAATGTATATTTCAACATCTTTTTCAACTCATTATATATCATCTCCCAGAAACCCTTCACCTTTTTACATTCCCACCACATATGATAAAATGATCCTTCTTTTTCTTTACATTTCCAACACTTATTACACGTTTTAAACATTTTTGCTAACTTAACCGGTGTGATATACCATCTATATACCATTTTCATGATATTTTCCTTTAACGTAGTACATGCTGTAAATTTTATATTTTCATTCCATACTTTTTCCCAATCATCTAATTATATATTGTATCCAAAATCTCTGGCCCAGTATATCATAACCGACTTTCCTTCCTCATCCATTGTATACCATTCCAACAACATTTTATACATTTTTGACAGGGTGAGCTGGGAAATCTCAGCTCAAACATAAAGTCTTTAAGTGCTCTTAGGCAGGTCACTATTCCCTCAAGACTCAACCTCCGCTTTGCAATATGTGCATTTCAAGTATCTTCCTTATTAGAATGCTACATTTAAAAATTAACAGATAATGCTTTTATTGTGTTTTATATCATCTTTTCAGCATTAATTTTTTTTTAAAAGCAACAGCAAGAAATAATGCTAACAACCTTTAAACTTTGTTTCTCAAAGATGCATAAAGATGGAAGCAGATGAAAATGAGAATACTCTACACTTCCTTTGCTCCAGTGTACATAGCGTGTACATAGAGGAATTAAGCCCTTCAGCAACGCTTTCAAGAATGAAGCAATAATTGTGCTTCCCTGAGAACTACTCAACACACAGGCTGGACTCAATCTCATTCCCATGACCAGCCTGAGAATTACAGTCCACTTCTGACGCTTTAACTCAGAAGATCAATCGAGCGCTGACCTCTGCTTTACCCCTGTGGATCTGTGGAGAGTTATTAAGAGTGATTAGTTAGGAATTACCCCAAAGCAGTTTGCAATGATATTATTATTATTGTTCTGTCATGGCATAGACACACTGCACAGAACAACAGGAACAAGTTTCCAACGAAAAACTCATGCTGGAAACAACCCAGCTCAATGTACAGACATAGATTTGTTCCCATGACAAGCACCAGAGGGTTGGATCAAGACTTAGTCATGCTTAGAGTAGACCCTGTTCCATTCATTTCAATGGGTCTACAACTCTCATCATGACTTATGTCTGACCCTAACCCAATATAAGCTAGCAAATAGCCATCACAATAGGTCAATCAATGGGACTGAAGTTAGTCCAAACTTTCAAGTCCTGTTATGACAGGTCAAGTGTGCATGAAGATAGTCTCTAGATTACACAGCAACAACAATTTTATTATTCATGCCCTGCCCATCTGGCTGGGTTTCCCCAGCCACTCTGGCCGGCTTCCAGTAGAATATAAAAATATAATAATGTCAAACATTAAAAATTTCCCAATACAGGGCTGCTTTCAGGTGTCTTCTAAAAATTGTGTAGTTCATTATCTCCTTGACATCTGAAGGGAGGGTATTCCACAGTGCGGGTGCCACTTCCAAGAAGGCCCTCTGCCTGGTTCCCTGTAACTTCACTTCTCGCAGTGAGGGAACCGCCAGAAGACCCTCAGAGGAGGACCTCAGTGTCTGGGCTGAATGATGGGGATGGAGACGCTCCTTTAGGTATCCTGGGCCGAGGCCATTTAACTCCTCCAACCCCTGCATCTGACAATGTAACTGTCTGGAGTGAGATACAGCTTTTGGCCTCTCTAAACTTCGTCTCTCTTTACTATGTTTTATGTATAGAGGTGGGCAAACCAGTTTTCCCCTGGACTGCTGCGGGAAACCTGGGAAACAAAGGACCTTTCCCTTTTACTTACTTTTAAATTAGGGCCTTGCAGTGACCGTGGTACCGAGAAGAGAGCAGGGAGCAGGTAGGTTCCTTCTGATGCTTACTGAGTAGTCAGTGCTTCCAGAACAATGTCCCCTAGGAGTTGTAGTTCAACTAAGGGTCACTGCGATGCCCATGTCCCTTGGAAGTACTACAACTCCCAAGAGAAACTGCTTTGGAAGCTTTGACATGCTCCACTGCCTCGGCACCATCCAAATGTAAAAGTAAGTAAAAAATGGAAGTTACATAGGTGGTATGAATCTGAGTCAGTTAAGGTTTAGGGAGCTCAGAGGTCTTTTAAAAGCTCACCTCTCCTTTGAGCCAGGCTCAAGTGAATTCTCATGACAAGCCTAGTTATGTGACATTTCATGACTCTTTGTGGGGATATATTACACCGTGTTGTCACCAAAGCTACAAGAAAGGAAAGATTAGAGTGGAAAGTGAGGGCCTTCTTAACCATTCCCCCTCATGCTGTTTTCCACTGAAAAAAATCACCCCCTTCCCTTGCAAGTGGTTTTTATGTCCACTGTGAGGGGAAAGACAAGAAGTGAAAGGTAAAAGTAGCTGGGGAGGGGTGATTGTCAGTGGAAAACATGCATGAAGAGAAAAGGTTAAGAAGCTGATCTTCAAATTATTATTATTATTATTATTATTATTATTATTATTATTATTTACATAAGATCCTCTCCTCTCATGCAGATCTTCCATTTCAGAATGCAACTTCAGCAGCTACATTCTGTAAAAACAGAACCCTCTTCAAAAGTATAACAAACTACACTCATCAAGTAACCCCTTCTTGCAGTGGAGGCTGTTGCATAAGGAGAGTGGGACACTGCCCCACTAAAAAAACAGTCATCCTTTGAAGTGTCCCCACATTTCTCCACATTTTGCAGTGCCATTCTGCAGACAGGTAATGTGTACAAAAATGCATGTGGTAAAGTGTGCATAAAATCTGTATATTGGTGGAATATGATAGTACAGTGGTACCTCGGCTTACAAACAGCTTGGGTTACAAACAGCTTGGGTTATAAACACCTAGGATTACAGACTCCGCTAACCTGGAAGCAGTACCTCAGGTGAAGAAGAAGAAGAAGAAGAAGAAGAAGAAGAAGAAGAAGAAGAGTTTGGATTTGATATCCCGCCTTTCACTCCCTTTAAGGAGTCTCAAAGCGGCTAACATTCTCCTTTCCCTTCCTCCCCCACAACAAACACTCTGTGAGGTGAGTGGGGCTGAGAGACTTCAGAGAAGTGTGACTGGCCCAAGGTCACCCAGCAGCTGCATGTGGAGGAGCGGAGACGCGAACCCGGTTCCCCAGATTACAAGACTACCGCTCTTAACCACTGCACCACACTGGCTCTCAAGAACGTTGCCCCAGGATGAGAACAGAAATCATGCTCTGGTGGTGCTGTGGCAGCGGGAGGCCCCATTAGCTAAAGTGGAACCTCAGGTTAAGAACTGTTTCAGGTTAAGAACGGACCTTCAGAACGAATTAAGTTCGTAACCAGAGGTACCACTGTAATGATATTAATAATAGTAATATTAGTGACATGATAACAATGGTGGTGAAAAATAACGAAGCAAAACTGCATTATTAAGGAAAAATGCATTGCAAATATGTATGCATTAGGCAAAATTAGAAGAAATTTGCTCTAAAATGAAGCGTTTGGTGGCAGCTTTGACCACATGCACCTCTGATATGCATCATTTGTTGTGGTGGGGGCCAACCTTCAGCGTGGGCTAAAAGGGTTAGCCATCACATTTCCTGGATATTTCATTTGCTCATCCACATAATCTGGCATTTTGAGGTCTCTGCTTGGCCTGTTCATGTCTTAAAGTATAGTTGATATGAATGTTATTGTGCTTTCATAGGAGTCAGTGTGATATATGAAGTCTGGCTGCAGCAAAGAATGGCTCACTCTAGTCCGTATCCTGCTCTGTTCGGACATTTGATACCTTGCTGTGCAATTCTAACCATGCCTACTCCAGAAGTAAGCCCTACAGAAATTACTGGGGCTTACACACAGGTAAACAGGGTGAGGATTGCAGCCTTAATTGTGAATTCCTACTAAATTAGCATTTCCTTCTCTAAGAACAAACTTCTTACTATAATCTCAGGAGCTTTCAATGCTAGATGCTGAAATATGGCAACTTTTGCAGTGTATGATGTGGCAAAAAAGAAATGAAAAAGCAGGCGAGTGCTGGTGGTGGAAGAGTCATTGCTATGGTGATTAGCAGCTCTTGCAGAGGCAAACTCTCTTGGGTATAATGTCATCTTCATTGCTGGAGTTGGACATTTTTCTGTACGATGATGAGTAATCACCCAGGACCTCAATGCAAACCTAGAATGTGTCTCACTGTAGAGCTAGTTAAGCATGAGGATGTTATTTGGCAACGTGGCAGATTCATATTATCATATAAAATTATTCACAAAGTCTAAAAGCATTTTCTGAAAAAAGTTGAAAATGGAGACATTTGCAGTTCAAAACACAAAGGTCTAGGGTGGATATGGATTATAATCCCCCACCACCCCGAGAATTGAAGCTGGTTGGAAGAGGGAGCCCTGTGCATGGTGTGTTCATCTCTCTTTCATCCCTGGCAAACAGATTTTGCAGCTTTTTCTAGTCTTTGTTTCAAAAACCTGCAGATCCTGTTTTTAAGGATCTACCATATCTCAGTGGTAGAGCATATACCGTATTTTTCGCTCTATAAAATGCACCAGACCACAAGACACACCTAGTTTTTGGAGAAGGAAAACAAGAAAAAAAATATTCTGAATCTCAGAAGCCAGAACAGCAAGAGGGATCGCTGCACAGTGAAAGCAGCAATCCCTCTTGCTGTTCTGCATCTGGATTAGCTGCGCAGCCTGCATTCGCTCCATAAGATGCACACACATTTCCCCTTACTTTTTAGGAGGGAAAAAGTGAGTCTTATAGAGCAAAAAATACGGTACTTTGCATGCAAAATCTCTCAGGTTCAATCCCTTGCATCTTCAGGGATATATCATCATCATCATTATTTGCAGTTGGGGGAAATTACTGGTACTTTCAGAAACCCTGGAGAGCCATTGCCTGTTGGTTTGGAAAATGCTAAGCTAGATGGATCAAGTGGCTGACTCACTATAAATCACTTTCCTATATTCCTTCCAACATCCAACAACAGATGATAATGAGTAAAAACATATACATGCATATGCAAGGGCAAACTATCTGAAGTATCATACCATCAGAATCAAGCCTCTGACTCAAATCACTTTCTGCCCTCTGAAAATCTGTCCCCCAGCCCCAGAAATAATCGAAAACAAAAACATACTACTCAAGTATTCCAACACTTGGCCGTCTTGAGAATAGATTTAAAAACACCCTACCCAATAAACATTGGGTATATGGTTATAATGGGACGCAGGTGGCGCTGTGGGTAAAACCTCAGCGCCTAGGACTTGCCGATCGCATGGTCGGTGGTTCGAATCCCCGCGGCGGGGTGAGCTCCCGTCTTTCGGTCCCAGCTCCTGCCCACCTAGCAGTTCGAAAGTGTTGGTTTCTGCTTTCCTTCACTGTGCAGCTCTGCTTGTCACGAGACAGGTGTTTACATTCCACAGTCTGTACTGTTGGAGTTTCTCACGGGAAAGGGAGACTGGATGTGACGTACACTGGTTTCCTGTTTTTCACTGTGTGATTCTCTCCGAGCTGTTGAGGAGAGAGGATGCATTTTCTGCTCCGGCAGAGGCAAGATGTCTTTCTGTAATATACCAGCTTTGAACTGTAAATAAAGCAATATAGAGTATGTAGCACGTAATCCTCATCCTTCCGCTGGGCACCAGACTCTGCTTTAAATCAACACGTGGTTATGGGCTCCAGACGTCGAATCGGAGTGCCGGCAAAGGATCGGAATGCAGAGGGACGGATCGGAACGGAATCTGCTCTGCGCGTAGAAGTGATTGATGAGGTATGTGCTACTGCTCCGGGCAGCCTGCCAGCTTCGAGTTAATGGCTTTATGGCTGGACTTTGAACTTTTAAAAGCCGGTTTTGCCGGGAATAGGCAAAAGGCTCCCAGGCACAAGTCACTATGCTGGGGAAAT